CAATTGGTATTATCTTAAAATAAACTAGACGTTAGTATCTACAACTTTTGTATTTAACATTTTTCTCTAAATTTCAAATTAGATGCAAAAACGGGGTGGCCAAAGTTCAATCAATAACCCTGTACACGTAAATTAACAAAGCAAATAAAATACCAGTCACCAAATTAAATAAGCGGAACAAAATGTATAATTAAGTATTTAAAATTACTTAAAAATTGGCGTTTTGTTGCAACTAATTTTATTTTCCTAGTGCGAGATTTCGACTGTCTGAAGACGAGAAGTAAAAATGAAACAAACTATACCTGATATCCTGCAGCGGAAATAATAGGGATTCCGCAACACATGCTAATACAAAAACTTCCATACATCAGCAATGAGTTCAAGCCCGGGCTGAACGTGTCAACAGGCCATAAAAATAAACATTTCAGTAGATTTGTATGCAACTGCATTATCCGATAACTCTTGTTCTCCATCATGGACGTCTTGGGTGTAAGTACGGTCCAGTGGGAAATGAATTATGGATTGTGACAGTATGCGGTAAGTCTTATCCATGTTTAATACGGCTGTTTGTCAACGCTATCTTACCCTGACATTGCACTTTATTAGAGGGCTTGAATCTAATTGAATGACAAGCTATTTTCTCGAAAGGGACAATGTTGATTGATCAAACAGCTAATTTGTGTGGAAACAGTCAAACGATGCTTAATAAACAGTTTGCTCCATATATTTGCTTTATTTAAACCATTCTATATACTAGAAAAATTAGTTGTTGTCAAGATTGGGAAGAAAAATTTATCAAGATCTTTTCCATATCTGAGAGTTTTAATAAATGCTCCATTAGCAGCTTTTTAGTAACTAGAAGTAATTGCCATGTCCTTGGACAAGAGTGGTCACTAAATAAACTAATCAGCGATTCATAAAAATCAACAACAACATTTATCAGGAAGAAGTGGCTCAACTTAAGAATTGACAGAAACATTTATGAATAATACAGTTTACAAATCACAAATTCAATGAAGTGCTTACGAAGGACTAGTTTTAAGTTATTCAGTTCTAAATCCGCGTTTCTAGTGAAACTGGTAAATGTAGGTTAACATCTACAAGCCTCTGCTTCTATCTAGAACTGACAAAAATTGTATCTTTTCCCACTTTTGATCTTAAAATAATTTCCAGTATTTAATTGATTGGTGTTTAAATAAAAATTCTTCGAAGAGGTTTAAGTTATCAGAATTTGATGCATCTGAGTTTTCTTTCGCACTTTTGCTCCAAAATGCTTCTAATTTCTTGACAGTGTGCCCTTTTTTTATACTCTCGTTTTTTGGTTGCTCACTTCCTTCAAGACTTGCACAAATTAATATCAGTTTGTTCCCTAATTTGCGTCTAAGTAGTAATATGATTTAATCAGTACCAGAAGAAATAAGATAATTTTTCTTCGGTATTGAGGTGGTKCTCTGATTGCGTAATAATTTAGGCACAAACAGATTATCTCTCAAGAAAGGACCAAATGGATAAAACTCACCTAAAAAAGAACTTCYAGAATAACATATCATATCAAAAATAATAAACTGTTGATTAATACAAGTGTAAAAGCCCAATTAAGTTTCATTTATTTATTTTTTGAACAAATTGCAATAAAAACACGTATATCTTCCATGAGGAACTGATCCACTGATTCGACGATTATTTTCTACTTTCAAATAAAATTCTTTGTATAAAAAAACGATTTAATTCACATATCTAAACATTTACATTCAAAAAGTAGGTACTTTGCAGGTATAAATATTTGACAAATGCTTCGTACAAACAAATCCTTAAATTTATCAAACACTTAATTTCACGTTCGCTCTAATAGGTATAGATAAATACTCTAATATAAAATGAACAAATTGGACGACTGAAAGTTCTTGCAATATTAATCAGTAGCAATTAGATATTCTCGATGCACGTGATTTATTTAATACTTGTTCACAGTCAGTAATTGATACATACTAGTGATCGAAACTAATGCACGTTAATTTCATTAAATTATATTAATAATTGAAAATAGTCTAGGCCATAACAGTGGACAGCAAACTCTCAAATGCTTTATTCATATAGACATAATCGAAATAACAACATACATATTGGCTGATACAGCTTGGAAATAGTTTATAGACTATAAATTATACTAGCAACAAAGAACATTAAAAATTAACTTTTGGACATGCACATGGTTCTGCATAATCATGCAGAAATCATCAAATGTACATTGAATGTATTCATTCATGTTCGAGTAATTAAACTAGAATGATCAATTTAATATTTAATGAGTCATTTACTGGGAATATTGATAAACTAAGTACCCACAAAGTTTGGCAATCAAACATTCTCAAGAGCTGTTTACTATACTTTATACTAAAATTCTACGGCATAGTATAAAACGTTTTTATATCATCCAAAATTGAGCAAAGCAGATGTGGATGCATAAAAGTCGAGTTTCGAATATTCACAGCTTCTTACAAACATGAATAATTTAATTAGCAAGCAATTACTCTGTACAAGACGAGGAACCGTATAAAGTATTTTCATTGATAAAGTACATTTTTCGTATTTGAACACTGATTTTTGGAAACTTGCAAGCATTCATGCTTTGAAAAATAAGCAATTTTAAAGTATATGAGGCAGCTAAATGTTGGCCACTTATTGAAATCATCTAAATCGGTGTAAAAGTTTGATATATTGAGTAACTTTTTAAGCAACTTAACGTGTTAAAATATTTAAACTTGGGAACGTTTAACAAAAAATCTCCTTATATCTAATGATAATCAATACCATGAAAGCTTATAAAAATCAGAATCATTTCGAAATATCCTCAAAGCACATCTATTACCTATGGAGGGAGCAATACTACGCGTTATTTTCTAAAATAATAATTTATCTGTTTTAATCCATTTCTCTACTGCCACTTACAAGTTCCATTTAGATATTGCAGCAGATGAGAACACTTATAATATTATGCCAGGATTTATTCAAGTCAATCTCGTACAAATCTCCTTAAACTGGCAATACATTATACAGGACTGTTGGTCATATTTCCGTAAGGGCTGGAAAGTATATTAAACATGAATGAGATAGAAAAGCGAGTAATTTTCATGCGGAAAACTTAAATATGCATTGCAAGTAATATATGAGTTTTATGTTTTAAACATTGTCTATGCTTAGTAGTTTCTAAATAAACTTTAAATTCAAACTAAAATGAGCGAGAGAACATGCCACAAAATGTAGTCGAAAACTCTGAAATTCTTCGAATATTTGATGAAAATAAAGCAATGGTGGAACAAGGCAAGTGGAATCTAGCTATTCCGTTGCATCAAAAATGCCACCTTCATGTCGGGGCACATTTTATTATTCAGAAAAAGGAGCATTCTTCAGAGAACATTTTCTGAATATCAAGAAAATGAACTATACGTACTATTATACTTTCAGTGTAAAGTCGACTCAGGGTTTTATTTTGCGTCCTTGATCTGCTGTGACTTCTTTATTAGAATTTTCATTCGTTTAAAATAGAAGAAGTCATATTTCTTAGAAAAGCAAGTCGATGGAACTAATTAGTTAAGAATATTAGCAAGAATAAATTAGTTAAGTTAATAAAAAAATTATGTTTTTTAGTAAAAAAATATTGTTTTATTACCTACATGCTTGTGTGTTTGCATTGAAAGTAAAACACCCGTTTATTTGCTAATAATGTTAAAACACTTTTACACATTTTTTATAGTTCAATATATCAATAAAGAAAACAAATTAGCTGGCTTTGTACATTAATTGTTCTAATTAATTTATTAATGTTTGTTAGTAGCGAAGTTATCACACTAACTTGTTTTTTTGCTTGCTACGTATGTCAAGAAATACAAATTTTGCAACAGTAGAAGCCCTAATAAAAATTAAAAATAAAATTAGCAAAACATACGAATTCCTGTTTTCAATGCTGTATTTGAAACAGATTTAAAATACAGCAATATTTTGCAAAGCGATTTTAATTTTTTTATAGTACTAGTAATACAGTTGGGAAAGCACGAGTTACGCTTCTGCTACGACTTTTGTGATTAAACTTTTTTTAAATTTTTTGATTTTTTCAAATAACTGAAGTTCAAGTCGGTAAAATAAAAATACAATATCGAAATATTTAAGTGACTATTTAGACGAAAATACAAAACAACGTAGTAAAATAGTTTCCATGTCTAATAACTAATTTTTAGGTAGTAACTATTTTAAGAAATAGGCAATTTTCACCTTTAATTTTAATTGCAAATAGGCAAATTTTTCACTTTTTTCTGTTTGTGAAAATCATAAGCTAAATGATCGAAAGCTGCAAATTAACGATTTACTTTTTAGAAGCAATCTTAAACTCACAAGCGTCATATTTTAGTTACAGATTTTATTGCAAAATCAGAATTCTGTAGTTCAAAAGTGAACTTTTGGTATTTTAGTGTTTTATATTTTAAAATTAATGCATTTTTTACYATTTTACTTCCTAACTTTCCAGAGCTTGTCACTAAATGAGGAACAGCCCTAATCGCTTAAAGTAGGCATTATCCTAAATTAAATTTATTTCCTAATTATCCTAAATTAAATTATCCTAAATACGTTTATGACACTTATTTAAAATATTTTACAAAGTTATGATCAAGTCGTCATTTTTGACTTCAGACTCCCAATGCGTACAGTCTATGATGTGCCTAAAATAAAACCAAAATATTATTATATTGCCATAAAAAAAATTAATTTTTGCGTGAAAAAATTACCTAAATAAATCTGGAGCATCATGTACTTCTGGTCATATTTCAAGAATTGAAGAATCGTTATCTGGATGCAGACTATCAGAAAGCGACACGCTGCTTCCAGGCATGGGTTCTGGTATACAATCATCTAAAACGTCTGTGACTTCTTCAAACCTACTAAAAATAGACATAATACATCGTTATTTTGATTGATAACAATTTTAAATACAAAATTTTAACAGCTGTTTAAACCCAATTAAAAAAGACTTAAACGAAACATGCACTTTGCTAAATTATTTGATATTAAGACAAATTATTGCTGTTATTTGCTCAAAAAAGTCAACTGATTTAACTGGTTCAATCAGGCATTATATTACAAATTCATTGGTTTGCTAATTTACAGTTACCACATGAAAATATTCCATAATTGTCATACATCAATTTTCGCATACAAATTGCACATTAATAATCCGATGTATCAATAACTGCTCATTAAAATATCTACTGAGGCTGGATCAATAAAAAAGACGAAATAGCGTCATAATTGAAATTAAAACCCTTTTTCCGTGCAAATAACGCAATTAAAATGCATATTGCATTTGATATAATCCATTTTGCTCTGAAATTGTTACAGCTAAATTAGTTTGCTCTAATGAGTTTTTTGCTTTGAACGTGGATTATTGAATATAGTTCAGGTCTAAAATATTTCGCTCGTTAAAGGAAAAATTGTGCAAAATTTTACGTTATTATCTATTTAAATTATTTTTCGTTGTCACGTTTATTGAATACAGTTTTATGCAGAAATTACAAAAATTAATAGACATTTAGTGAAAGCCAAAATAATTTGATGCAAAAGTATTTTTTTAATGAAACAACGATTATTTTAAGTGAAAACTCAATTTTTTCATCAGCTCTTTATATGGGAAAGTTATAAAAATCTAATAAATTCGTAGTATTTGAAACTCAAACACATTAATAACACATTGATAAATTGGTGAATAACGAATAAAAGAAGGCTGATACATTATTGCAAAGTTAAAAGGAACTACAGAAATAAAACTTGACAAAGGAGCATTAAAATATTCCAGGAATTAATTAATAACAGATAATAAAGTGTGGAGATGGAACTATACTGACCTAAACTTAGACATGCACCATATGAATCCAAAGATTTTATTAATACACACATAGAGACAAACCGTAGGAAAAGAAGWTTGCGTATTGGAAACACCACAAGTTTAAAATTTAACAAAAAAATACAGAAAAATKTATGGAAATTAATATTTATATTAATCAGGAAATGCAGACGAATAACTAGYGAAGAGAGTCAAAACGAGGCTACTGYAAAAAAATTGGTGCGTGATAAGGAAGAAGAAGGTTTTTTTAGTAAAAGAGCCGAACAATTTAAAGCCGCTATTAATGCAGKTTTAAAACTACATTAACAGCGAGTTTATTTAATAAAGACGACATGGCTGCAGAGTTAACAACAATCTTCAAAAAAAAAAGTYAAAAGCTGCTTGAACGTCCTAGTTAGAAATAAATAGAAATGTATAATACATCTGTATGAAATCAAGATCAGCAAGTAAAAATAACAACTGAATGAAGCAATTTTACTTGATAATCTATATTTTGCTATATCATTGTCAATATAATCAACCGTTGCAGAAGAAATTTCAGATTACATGAATAAAATTAGAAAGTGAGATACTTTTAACGGGCAACATTTTTTTATATTGCGAAAAATATTTTTTAGTTGGTGCTATCATCATGGCCATTACGGCTGAGCTGCTTTATTCAACTCTCTTGATATTTTTCCCTCTTGATATTTTTTGAATGGTTCATTTTAAAAGCTTTAAACCATCAAAGCATTTCTCACATTGTAATTACTAGTAGAAAGAAAAATGGTTATCGGAATGCTGAATGTGTTCAATTACGATATCCAGAACATCGTTACGATTATTGTTCATTTTCAACACTATTTTACACACTACAACACTACGTTTAAAATCGTTTATACTCAAAAAGTGACAAAAAAATTAAATCCCAGAAAGTTAAAAATACAGTCAGCAATTAATATGAAAACAAACTTCTTTAGTACTTATGATGTGATACTAACTACTTTACAGAAGAAAACCTTCAAATAAATGTATTACCTCTCTAAGCTATCCAAATCGCTTTGGCCCGATCGGTGTTCCTTTTTTTTCATTCTCCTCTTTAAAAGTTTGTGAAAAATGGACAATCCCAGATGCAACAGGCCCAAAAAAATTGCTGCCGCTCCGCCTGCATAAACAAGCCATAATTTGTATGGTTTGTACATAGTCGTCAAGCCCATGAAGATATATAGAGGGGATTTCTTCCAATCGTCGATTAATGTGCAATATCTCCATATTTGCCATAACTTATGGTCAACCCTGGAAATAAATCAATTAAAGTTTCAATTTAATGATTCGGCTCTCAGCTCGCCGGCTTCGTAATAAATAACTACTTGTAATTTCAAAGGTAAGAGGCTTAATTAGAGTTTTTGATGACTTAATATAAACTTTCATCCCCTTTTAGGAAGTTTGCGTGGCTTTGACTGCAAATTGGTGTGAGTCTGTTAATTAAAGTTTTCATCACGGCTTATCCATTAAATATCTTGTGCTTTAGAGCCTGTAATTAAATTTTTACGACCAGTGTTACTCCTAATAAATATAGTACTCAGTTAAGTTTGTGTTGTAGATATTCTCACATCAAAAAACACCTGCAGAATGTCGAAATTTTAGAACAGCGTATGTGCTTATTAAGGGAGGTAACAGCCAGCTTGAAAAAGCAAAATTAATCTCGCAGCTTAATTCGGTGTGAACGATGTTTAAAAGTTTCGATTAGTTTCCTAACTGAAAGTGTACAAGTTCAACACTTGGGCTTAAAACTCCACGAATCTATGGAAGATAAATTACTGGAAAGTTCCTTTTTACCAGACGATTAATTACGATATAGCATGTGAAAGAAAATTGAAAAATAAGTACGCAGTAACGAGGATGACCGGCAAAAGCTCCTTTTGAAATGATGCAATACGAATGAGATTTTTTTGAGGAAAGATAGATCAATTTTCTGTTGCCAGGATTAACGTAATAATCGCTTTAAGCTAAGTAATAATACATAATCCGGATGAGACAATTTTGTGCGGTTTCAAGGGTTTGGTTATATTTAATCAGTTTCACTCTATTTATTTTACATTGAACTTTAGATGAATCAAAATATTTTCAGCGTTTGGTTAAGTTTAAGTCAAAATTGCTTTTATTTTGAATGTTTGCTCGAACATTGTTCTAGAACATTTTCGATTTAATTTTTATTTTTTTCTGACCGGTGCGTTATCTACTCTTTCTACTGGTGTAAAACTGATACATAAAAATGTACATATTTTTAAAACTCAAAGTTTCGTTTTAATTCAATCTCTATATGTTCGACGCAAAATTCTTGAATGAGTTGAGTCATTAATTTGATGAACGTAAGATTTATAATTTGTAATGCTCTTCCAATAGCAAAAATACATTTTGAATAGATCCAACACTAAAGAAATGCTAAAAACAACCTAGTAAAGGTGTTCAAATAGCGTAATACTCTCTTTAAAATGCACTCTGTTATTTCACATTTCTCTCTGATACTCTTTTGATAAATTGAGTGTAATTCATTTGCTGTATAAATGACTCGATCATTTTTACTGCAACTTCTGGCACGTCTGAGATAGGCCAATAAATTCTGAAAATATGAGGAAACTGCATTTTGTTGATGCTTGATACTTCGATTTCAAAGCAATATATTTCGACATATTTTATACTTTGTAAAATGGAGATTTAGTTCGGTCTATTACAGCAAAATTTCCAATTCGAGCTGTGTATAAACCTTTTTAATCAAATTCTTGCAGTTATTATCAATACCTTTCAATATATCAATTTGCTGAATATTATGAACGTTACTGATGGAATGAATGGGTCAATAAAAGCCAATCAGTCGCTTAAATTAACGGAGCATCTCGAACATTTCAGGACACAATTTCACCAACCATATTGTGACTGGAATAAATAATGCCGGTTATTTATGTGAGACTCTTATGTGATAAATAGGGCTATAAACTAGTGGTCGAATGGACGCAGCTGATTCGTTTATGGACTATTCGGTTTTCATCCGTTTTCGGACAGTAAATTAAATAAAATATTTATTACATCAAGTAAAGGAAAATATTAACAAATTTGTCAAATGAAAAAACAAAATGTATTGGGGAAACAAACCATTTGAGTACTAGATGTATAGCATGTCTCGTTTTAGTTTTCCTTTCAATAGTTTTACTGATGCATTCTTGTCTAGTTTTGATATAATTAGTGCTTGAATTGTCTTCTAAATTATCCCATTTTGATCGATATTGAGCGATTTAATTTCGAACTTTTCACCTGTTTCACTGTGAAGTTACTAAATCGAACGGATCCATCGTATTTATGCTACCAAAACAAAATTCACAGAATTTGAAATTGCAGCCCGTATCCTTGTAACAAGGTAACTGTAAACTGAGGGCCGATTTTCCAAGAACAAGTAGAAAGAAATGAAAGAAAAAAACAAAATTTCGAAAGAACTAGCTCAAGAACGTCCTTTAAAATATTTGCCGTACAAGTCTAAGCTATTGCCATTCTTGCAAGGCATTTATGAAGGATATTTAAAAAAATAAGGGTAGTTATTGTGTATGTTCTTTATCGTTCTCCAGATACCATGATTGGCAATTATATTTTAATTCCGATGATAAAAAAACTCAATTTCACTTAACATATGCCTTCATTTCAAACGCTTGAAAATAAAGTCGTCTGAAATTGACAATTTAGCAATCCCAATAAATTATTCCAAATCACGAAGAATGCCGTCTTGTAAAGAATCTCAATTTAAACTTTTCAACAAGCCATACTACAAGCTATCTTTGGAAGAAGTTCGCAGCTCAAACACGTTTTTGCATTATCCGAAGTTTAATGGCTTTGTGGCGTCAAGTGCATAAGAAGACATTAATTAAATTTAGTTTTATAGTTGGACGAATACATTTGGAAAAGGGCACATTAAACTTTTGAAATGTTCCATTCCCGTTACGGTAAGATTATATTTTTACAGCTTCAAGTTGGTGGAGAAATAACTTTGAAATAGATATTTCAAATGTATCACAACTAGTTGAGGTGTTCTAAGCAAAACTGGGATGAAACAAGCCTGTACTAACAGCGGTTTCCACATTTCTTATCTAAAACAGGTTTGGCAAATTTCATTTTGTTAAGTTGAAATTGAGGATTTCATTGCCTTTCTGTTATTATTGCAAAGTCGCCAGCCAAAGGATTTCTAAAATGTGTATTTTTCTGTAAGTTGAACTGTTCTATTTGAACTTTATAACTCCCACTGCATTTTTTTTATTATTTTATGTATACATGTTCTGAATAACATTGGGTTTAAAATTAGTCTGCTGTAGTTTAGAGCTAGTTGGAAATGTTTCGAGGATTGTGCTTATTAATGACTACTTTAACATAATTTTCATATATTTTCTTGATTATACTTATAATAGTTTTATTTAGATGTCTTTAGTTTAAAATATCCCATACTTTTCCATATGCACTTTGTGGTGGAATTTTCCTAGGACTGTGAAAGTTCCCGTTATGGTGTTTCCGGGATTTGCTTTATAGGAAATAGTTTTCATCTTGAATATTATGTCTGGGTCTAAGGCATTATTTTTTTGTTCTTTCGGTTTCAAAACTGCAATCAATCAACTAACAAATCCTCGATTTTATAAGTTAGTGTAATTTTCCATTCGCCTGGCATTTCGTCCTGTTTGTGCTCATATTTAATTCTACAGATTTATCATTACTTTTTACTTATTGCTTTCTATTATTCGATCTATTTTTACTACGTTTTTGCGTTCTATTGTTTTTGTAATGCTTTATCTAATTGGACTATTTGCATTGGCTCAATACTGGTTCTCAGGCTCACTCGTTGCATCGTTTCTTGTTTTTTTCTTATTTAATATCTAAGTTTGTCTTTAACGTGATTTTCCATTCCAATGTCTTAAGCACATTCGAAAACAGATTCAGGTTGTTTTGCTTCTTGTCTCTATCCTCTAGCCAAAGATTCCCAACTGTTTTCCTTGCTGCGTTCCCAAGCACGTTACATTGTTCTTTCATTCCTTTATACTTTCTTTTGTCTGACTACTTTTTTCCTAAACTCCTTCAGTCGTGGTTGATTCACTTCTGATGACTATTTCGCCTACTTCAACCTGCCTATTATGCAAATTTTCTTGCGATTTTCTTCAAGTTTTTGAAGTATTCGCATATGCGGCTAGCCCGTTTGTTTTTTGCAAAGTATTATTTGATGAATCCACTGACGCCTATCGTGTGCACATTTTAAAAATATTTTTGTAATGTACAGAGTGTCCCAAAAGCCCTAAAAGTATCA